CCCCAGCTCCGGTGAGTCTCCCAATTTATTAATTGGTGAAGGGATCACGATACATAGTTAAGATTCGTTCTGATACGTTCTCGGTTCGTCGCTCTCTGTCTCTCGTACTATTTGCCGGACTCTTACTCCGACCCTCTCTACCTCAAACCTAGCAGCCTGAGCGGCCGTGCATTTCCGTAACCGTCCGCTCCCGTTCGTGGATCCAGTTGCGTTTCTAGATTTTACGCGTTCCCAAAAATCGACAAGAACCCGTTAAGTTATCGCCTCGTCCGATAGGTTCCGTCAGAGCTCTCGTTCTTGGTGGAGTTGGGCCTGTTCCACCCCAACTCCCAGTTTATACCGACTAGTCAGTTCCCGGTGAAAAAAGAACTGACTGGCGCCCGCCTGGCTTGCGGATGCACGAACGACGGGTGGACGGCCGAAGGTAACGTAGGTGGGTTCTCGAAGATAGTCGTTCTCGTATGTTTTGCTATCGGTGTCGGGTCAAGGAAAAGAATTACGTTACAATATATAGTTACATAATATTATTTCCAATTTGGGAGGTGGGTGGACATATTCTAATGGCTGACTGTATAAATAAGTCCCCTCAAACTGACACCGACGTCACTACTCGACCATATATTGTAGTACCATCTTTTAAAAATAAATCTTCAGGTATAGACAGTCCGATTACATACATATAGTTCGGTAACCTTAAATTACATTTTATCAAAAAGTAAATTTAATTATATCATTTCTTCAAATCTTTGGCAAAAAAATTGACCTACAAAAAGTAATCCTTTTTTTAACAATACAAAAATAGGACGAAAGAAAGTTGTCACGGCTGTCCTCGTTAGGAGGGTGTAACGCGTTGTCGTCACTAGGGACGCTTGGTGCTTATCAATAAATAATAAATCAGCAAGTAAAACGTACAAGCGGTTATCAGTAGCGTGGAAGTCATTTTATATGTCAAGAACTGAAAATAAAAATGTAATGACGTATAGGTGTTACGTCATCGTAGGTACAGTATTAATTCACCCGAGACATGCAAATGCATTGTAACAGGCGAAGCGGCGTTATCCTTGCCCCTGTAGTATAATATAAGCGACGCTACACCCTGCCTCTGGAATAACCTTCCGCGAGATATCCATAAATTCAGACAACCTACATTCACAGGAATCTGGCTAATCTCGTTGTACTGTACCTGCAGCTGGGAAACGTACACGCGCCAGGCACTGCACTTGTGCTGATACATACGGGGGATCCTTCAATTCCAGGTAAACCTCAGTCCCGTATGTGGTCCATGGTACAAATAACACACGTTATGTACGTGGCAGCTAGAAGCACTGTAATTAGTCGAATTTCTAAGTAAAATCAATATTCCAGGTCTCCCTTACACAGGACTTGATTCGCGGGTCTGGATCGACAGTCGAGTTTCCTCTCTATGATATCGTCGCTACAGTATACCTATGGCGTATCAGGTTCTAGTCGGGCCAGGAATCCTTTGTCGAGAATCGAGAACTGGGTAATCCTTCGGGAGTTCGAGTAGGTTTCCCGGCGTGGAGTTCTTCCCGTGGAAAAGTCGAGAGTCGAAGAGAAAGACAGGAGAAAGAATAAAGACTCGAGAATGGAAGCGCAAGGAGACGATAGTGGCGCCGCCCTGGAACGGCGGCGCGTGTCCGAGACTGAGGTAACGGGACTGTGTAAATATCGGCGTGGCGCGTAAAATCTCTGTAGTCTGTGAAATTATTCAATAATTCTTTTTATTCGTTTTTACGCGTTGGAGTAATTTTTTTTTGTATTCGCTCAAAATGGCGGAATTTCACGCAAATCTCTTACGTTCTACCAATCGTTGTCAAGTATCGCCACCTGATTTACGTAACTTATCGAATTCTTTGGGAATACTTTTATTCCTTTGCTTTATCCGATCACGATGTTATCGCGTATTCTTATTGTGGAAAAACACGATCAATAGAATTTGGAAACGAACCGTGACTGCTTGACAGTCTTTTCGAGGAATGAGTGTGGACCGTCTATCGCTTCCGGCCGATCGAGCTTCGGGCTTTGGATTTCTTCTGTATCGTGGATCTTGAGCTCGAAACTCGGCAGCCCGATTGATATGGGAATAAAATTGGACGTGGTTTCCGGTTCCTTTGACGGATGGGAATAACGGGTGGAAAAATCAATGAGAGTCAAGGCCACGGTTAACGATGCACCCAGTGGTGCTACACTGACGCAGAGAAAAATGAACTGGAGTGAAATAACAAATGAGGTTAAGCGAGAGGAAACGTTACGGAGGGATTGAGAGAGAGAGGAGAGTAAAAAACAGCACTAACACAAAATAAAAGTAAATTTGGTACAGTAAGTACGAGTTTTTTTTAGGGTGCCATCGTGGTTTAACAGGCTGGAACCAGAGCTATCCTTTATTGCTCTTTGCGGTGGCATATGCTGAGGATGACTATGGTCCTGCCCTGTATACGTATATAGATTTTATATAGGCAACGTACGTGCTCTCGGCGAATAGTCGATTCAATAAACCGAGGATGCTAAAGCCAAACAGATGAAATTAAAGGTTCGACGGTCGACAAAGTTTATATTATAGTCCATGGTGTTAATATTATAGTCCACGCGTGGTAGCGTGCCAAGGAATAAGGTTTGCGGAGGTCGACGCTGGAGGAGAGCAAGTAAAGTCGTGGTCAAAAGGATAAAATCGAATGGAAAATTCGAACCAAAGTCGAGGTCGAATAAAAGTAATATAAAACAATGGTTTGATTAGGGATTGTCCTTTTTAAAATTCAAAAGTACAAAATATTCATTTTCACTTCCGGTAAATCGTCTTGGACTTTATTTCGCGCTGTAATAACTCCGATTTGACGTTGTTCAGTAAACCAAAAAGTGGATTCGAAGCATTCTTTTTGCAAGCAAAAATTCATTGATAAATTTATTAAGTCTGTTCCTTTATTATTTTTCGTTTTTATTATATTTTTTTAAATCTTTTTTTTACCCTAAATATCAGGGGCGACTGAAAGCTGCGTACAGCTATGACATTGAGTAGGTTGGCGGGAG